CTATTTAGAGAATTAAAGGCATTTGACGCATCAACTAATAACAGTCCCTCAGCACCACCAGACTCAAACACATTCTTAACAGTATGAACAATCGCTTCACATGCTGAACTGACCCCAGCACAGAGCTGGGAGCAGCCCGGCAGTAACATCAATTATGTCAGACTTAATAACGGCAAGAGTACATGATGGCTTTAGAGAGAGTGTCTAACCATAGTACTGTAGGCTGCTACATCACGGCGTAGAGTGTTCTGTATAGCTTACATAGTCACTTTAGCACCTTCTTTACATCATTACCCAAGAGCGTCCATTTTGGGTGTAGTATTTTATAAACTGTTAGACACGCCCGTTATAAAGACACACCTAGTAACAGACACGCCTATAGTAAAACACATGACCTCACGTGGCATGGCTGACAGTTCTTTCTCCAGCGATTGCTCTGGTCAAGAATCTAGTGTTTCTTCAAACCCTGATACAGATTCAGTACTAAAAGTGGAGCCAAGACGAAGTGGGCGTTTAAGGAAGGCAAAACTTCATGCTAAATCACTTAGTGAAAGTGAGGATCATGAAGAAGCTGATGCTGAGCAGACCAGATCGAGAAAGCCTCCAAGGAAAAGGCAAACTGTAGCAGCAAGGAAAGGGCCAAAGTCATCTAAACCAGCAAAGAAGAAGAGTAAGAGAACTATTGTTGTGGAAAATATCAATAGTATACCATTGCATACTCTTGAATCAATGGTACAAGTTGCATTTGCTAATCAGCTGGATGATGACAGTAGTTCTTTCAACAGCATCTTTGCCAGTTTGGAGAAAGAAAGAGTTAATGACAAAAGTTTGTTGAGTGCCATCATTGAATGTCATCGTGATATTTTTGTCGAACTATATGAACTATGTGCCAAAGGGAAAGAGAAGTACTTGCGCTTCCAGATTGAATGGCATAAACATTGCAGTGTTTTTCTACTGCAAAGGCAGCATGCGATTGAAACAGTAATCCCAGTGTATGAAGGCAATAGTTCCTTAGTTACATTAAGGGAAGACTGGCTAAAATTTATCGAAAAATGTGAAAAGCCGATTAGGGATTGTAATAAAATTATGATCATTCTATCTTCCATTACCTACGACATTCTAATGAGGAAAGTACATCAAGAATCATCAGCTCAAGATAAGTCAAGCACATCTTTGGCAAGAGTACATGAGAACGCTGATACCGATGATGTTTATTACAGATTTGGTGGGGCATCAATATCAGACATGCTTCACCTCCGATATAAAAAGATGAAGGAAGTAAAGAATGAAGAAAAACAAGTCACCATTCAGAAG